TGCTTTGTCTGATAGTGATTCATCTGTCAAGTGATGAATTATTTAGAATTTTCGTATACTAAATCATTTCAAAAACTATTTTAACTTCTTCTTTATTAGGACCTTTTTCTCTTTAGATGAGAACAATTTATTTTTTCTCTAATATTTACAGTTTTTATTATCCATGTTTTAACTTTTGACAAAATTAATTTAAAAAGAAACAAAAAAATTATTAAGACAAAAAAGAATTTGTACCAATTAGTACCACCAGACCGCAACTTACGATTTCTGAATAATCATTAATAATAAAATTATATATTTACATTTTTCACTCGTTTGAATTGTTTAAACTTAAAAAAGAATATATCCAAAATAAAACTGTTTAAAAAAAGAAATGAAACTATTTACAATAAAAAAAAGAAAGATAAATATAAACATTTTGGAATGTGCAGAACTCAGCTTATCACTGCACCTCTTGCAAGTTTACGTCTAGACGCCTTGGCTGTGGTGATTCTGGAAAAATGATTCTTGCACATTGTAGGAAAATAAATATGTAAATTATGATTTAAAAAACGAAAGACAGATGTAGTTGATGAATTTAAAAAAAAATTACCTGGTTCATCCGGGTTTCCTTCTAGTACGTGAAAGTGGAGGTAAAATTTAATTAGTCATGTATATATTACCCTAATACCTGCAGTAGGTGATTCTCGAGACACACCGGCAATCTGTTGTGTAACTGTCGAGAGTGTCGTTGGACTTTGAGAAGTGATAGGCCCAAGTCTGTAATGTGCACACCTGTCAGTGATTTGTGCCTATGTAAATCCTCAATCAATTAACTTATTTAATATCTTCATTAATTTTTATAATGAGTGTAAATGATTGTTTGTGATTAATATGTAAGATAGATAATTCATTAATATGTACCAATAAAGATGTGATTTTTGTTTAGTTTTATTTTTAAAATATTTATTATATTTATTTCCAAAAAATGTACAAAGGATAATCATTAAATATAGAATACTGTTGAGTCCAAAGAAAAAAAGGTTATTATTATTTTGTGTGGTGTTGTGTCTGTTAGATATCGTGAGGTTGGTCTGGTGTGACGTAGGTTTTAGCAAAGCATTTCCTTCATTGTGAGTTATTATTATTACAATCATCATTACTTTCTCTCTGAAAATACATTGATTTGATATAATTTATATACTTGAAATACTAGATATATTGCAATGAATACTAGAATTGAAAACTTCTTTTGAATTCTGTGGAAAATATGGATGAAGGGGCGAACCAATAAATAAAAAGCTTTTGTAACTGGAGTGGGGGACTCGGAGAATAGGAAAAAAGAACCAACTCCCCCCAGGGATTGAGTCTTAGGAATTGATTCACTTTAAAAATAAAATAAAATCTTCCCATTGCTACTACAGGGGCATTATATGACTACTATCTGAAATGAGTTTTAGAGAGAGGGGTTCGACTCCAATGTGGAATCACATGCAATTGAAGTTGTTAAGGATAAATCGTAGTAAAATGGGGTTGGGGTAGTTCAGAACTTTTAGCTTAACAGACATTCTAATTTAAAATTTTATTTATAAAAATTAAGCTCAAAAGCCAGGTGTAGTTGAGGGATTCTAAGCCTCAAACTTGATTAAATGCAAAAAGGTAAACACAATTTCCATGATGATACGATACCGCCCCAGTCAGAAAATGTTGGTGAATGGTGTTAATTCTGATTAAGCTGAAATATCTTGATTTCTGATTTAAAAATTCTGTTGATCATAAGTTGGTAATTTTATTAATTTTTTAGAAAGAAAAGACAGCCAGCTGAAAAATGTGGGATCGACAACTGTTCCTCAGTAGGCGTTACATCAGCATTTTGCAGGTGTGTATTGTAATTGTTAAAGATCCTGTTATCTTATTAAAAGTATGTAGAGATTAGTGACCGTTAATCGATAGTTATTCAGATATCGTGAGATGCGGTCGGGTGTGATGTAGGTTTCAGAAAAACATTTTCTTTATCGTGCCAACGTTTCGATCTTTATTGAGATCATCTTCAGGGCTCAATAAAGATTAAACGTTGGCACGATAAAGAAAATGTTTTTCTGAAACCTACATCACACACCCGACCGCATGCCACGATACCTGAATAACTTATTAAAAGGTTGAGTACATTTCCATGATGATATGCTACCGCCCCAGTCAGAATAGATTTTGATGAATGGTGTTAACAGATCCTGATATATTTATTTATTTCTGATTTAAATTTTGTTATTCCCAAATTTATAATTTATCTTTTTTTTTTTTAGAAAAAAAGGCGGCTACCATCTGAGGAGCAAATTTTTAAAAGAAGGCCAATGTGATGCACTCCATCAGCTTATTCTCGGTGTGTATTTTTTTAATTTTTTATTAATTTAATGTCTTGTGAATAAAAATATGTATTATATTTTAACAAAAATAAGATTATATTTGATATTGATATAAGTATTGCACATGCTTTACATAAAGTTCAAATAAAATTTCTGTGATGATAAGTTACCGCCCCAGTCAGAATAGATTTTGATGAATGGTGTTAACCAATTCTGATATAATTAGGAATCTATTTCTGATTTAAAATTTGTTACTCCCAAATTTATAATTTGTCCTTAATTTTTTTTAGGAAAAAAAGATTACCATGTGAGCAGCAAATTTCTCAAANAATTAGGAATCTATTTCTGATTTAAAATTTGTTACTCCCAAATTTATAATTTGTCCTTAATTTTTTTTAGGAAAAAAAGATTACCATGTGAGCAGCAAATTTCTCAAAGTAGGCCAAATTTGATGTGCTACATCAGCTTAATCTTGGTATGTATATTTTTTATCCATTTAATGTCTCATGAATAAAAATATATTTATTTTATATTAAAAAAAAGATTCTATTTGATATTGATTATAAGTATTGCACACGCTTTACATAATGTTCAAATAAAATTTCTGTGATGATACGTTACCGCCCCAGTCAGAATAGATTTTGATGAATGGTATTAACCAATTCTGATATAATTAGGAATCTTATGTCTGATTTAAAATTTGTTACTCCCAAATTTATAATTTATATTTTCTTTTAGAGAAAAAGGCTACCCCATCTGAGGGGCAAATTTTGAAAAGAAGGCCATATGATGCATTCCATCAGCTTATTCCCGGTGTGTATTTTTTTTTTTTTTTTTTTTTGTAATTAATTTAATTTGTCAACATGAAAAATAAGATTCTGTTTGGTATTGATTATAAGTATTGCACAGGCTTTATATAGAGTTCAAATAAAATTTCTGTGATGATACGTTACCGCCCCAGTCAGAATAGATTTTGATGAGTGGTGTTAACCAATTCTGATATAATTAAGAATAAATTTCTGAATTAAAATTACTGTTACTCCCAAAATTATTTGTCCTTATTTTTTAAATTTTATTTTTTAGGAAAAAAAGACGTACCATGTGAGCAGCAAATTTCTCAATGTAGGCCAAATTTGATGTGCTACATCAACTTTTTCCCGGTGTGTTTTTTTTATTTTTTTTTTTTATTTTTTATTGCTAATTTGTCTCATCATTAAAAATATATAAATTTTGACAAAAATAAGATACTATTTGTTATTGCTATATGTGTTGTACATGCTTTACATAGAGTTCAAATAAAATTTCTGTGATGATAAGTTACCGCCCCAGTCAGAATAGATTTTGATGAATGGTGTTGGCCAATTCTGATACAATTAGGAATCTATTTCTGATTTAAAATTTGTTACTCCCAGAATTATAATTTGTCCTTATTTTTTTAGGAAAAAGAAAACCATCTGAGTAGCAAATTTCTCAAAGTAGGCCAAATTTGATGCGCTACATCAGCTTATTCTCGGTGTGTATTTTTCTATATTTTTTATTGTTAATTTAATTTGTCTCATCATTAAAAATATACAAATTTTGACAAAAATAAGATACTATTTGTTACTGCTGTACATATTGTACAAGCTTTACATAGAAATGTGTGGTGATTAGTGACCGTTAGTCGATAATTATTCAGAAATCGTGATAAAAATAAGATTATATTTGATATCGATACAAGCATTGCACACGCTTTACTGTAGAGTTCAAATAAAATTTCTGTGATGATACGTTACCGCCCCAGTCAGAATAAATTTTGATGAAGGTGTTAACCAATTCTGATATAATTAGGAATCTATTTCTGATATAAAATTTGTTACTCCCAAATTTATAATTTGTCCTTATTATTTTTTTTTAGGAAAAAAAAGATTACCATGTGAGCAGCAAATTTCTCAATGTAGCCCAAATTTGGCGCTACATCGACTTATTCCCGGTGTGTATTTTTTTATTTTTTATTAATTTAATATGTCTTATGAATAAAAATATATAAATATATATTTTTTTAAACAAAAATAAGATTATATTTGATATTGATACAAGTATGCACACGCTTTACTGTAGAGTTCAAATAAAATTTCTGTGATGATACGTTACCGCCCCAGTCAGAATAAATTTTGATGAAGGTGTTAACTAATTCTGATATAATTAGGAATCTATTTCTGATTTAAAATTTGTTACTCCCAAATTTATAATTTATCCTTATTATTTTTTTTAGGAAAAAAAAGATTACCATGTGAGCAGCAAATTTCTCAATGTAGCCCAAATTTGAAGGCGCTAATTAGCTTATTCTCGGTATGTATATTTTTTATTCCTTTTAATATGTAATGAAATTTTATATATTTAATATATATATTTTAACAAAAATAAGCTTGTGATGATACGTTACCGCCCCAGTCAGAATATATTTTGGTGAATGGTGTCAACTCTGATATAAACTGAAAATTTCTTAATTCTATTCAACATTGTTCTCAAATTGGTAATTTTTTGTTTGTATTTTGATTTTTAAAGGATTTATTCTCATACCACTTGAATGGATGTTGGTGATGAAACTTTTTCAAAGCAAACCACAATACTCTGCTATACAGTAATCTTTTCCAGATGTGTATTAATATAGTTATTCATATAAATACACAATACAATAACATAAACCAGAACAGGCTCAAAAAAAGACTAGAATCAATTTTTTCCTCTTTTCTTGCTGATTGCAAAAGTCAAGCTATTATTTTGCATACATTCCATGAAATTTTAATACAAATTAATAATAATAATAATGGGGGTACGAATGAGTACTATGCGTCTCTAATAGCCTCTGATACTCAACTCCGACTTTCCACCTTCACGAAACTTACATTGGTGTACCCTGTTGATCAAACAGACGGAAAGAGGGGTATGGAGTAATAGGAGCTGGACCTGGCACTTCCTAATAAACCCCAAACCTTACCGATCTTCCTACCCCGATCCAGTCCCAATCTAAGGTGTTATGCGACCCGTGCTGATGGATGGATGGTACAGGGGTGACTGTACCTGTAACGGAGCCTCAAGAGTACCAGGTGACCCTCTTGAGTAATCAACCTTACACCGGAGAGAGGGCTCCTCCGGTGCGGACCTTTAGACCCCTCATACTCATAGGAATTGCATGGATAGACCAAAAGAAAATAAAACACTGTGGGAACCTGCACAGGAAGACCCAAAAAAACAATTGATGAAAATTGAAGATGGCTCCAGGTCCTCTTCAACTCCCATAAACCAAAAATTGGAGAACACTCTTCTCGTGTCACCTTTTGATGTGGGGGATTTTCAGGAAGGTATGAATACCAAACCAGAAGATGAAACCACTCGAATGGGGGAGACTGAGAAGATTGATAAACAACGCCTCAAACCCAAAAAACTCTCAGGGGCCCAGAAGCGTAAAAGGGCAATCGAACGAGCCAAACAAAAAGGGGAGCCAGTTCTGAAAAAAATCAGGAAACAAAACCCCCCTTATGTTAACTTCCAGACTTTGGCACAAGGCCTGACCACTAAAAGTGTTAACCCCCCAAAAACCAGGCCAATGCCAACCAAAAGTGGTAAAAGGGACAGGTCACTGGATAGTGTCACATCAAGTGGAAGTGCTCCTTGGGCATGTTCCAAAAAAAGCAAAGTCGAGGGAAGCAATGTGGAACAAACCTTTCCCCCCAATATAGTTGGTGGGGAGGGCAATGAGACATATCAGCAAGCCCTCAAAGCGCTAAAAATGGCCGTGGTGTTGGAAGAATACCCAGATAAGGAGCTAACAGCTGATCAGGGCAGAGCCGTTCAACGGGCCATCCTGGCTGAGGTTTGGAGATGCAAAAACTCCAAAGGGCCTCAATTCAGGAATGGCTACGTTGAAAAAGGGGCTGTCCTGATAACTTGCGAAAAACAAAGTGCCAAGGAATGGCTCATGGCAACGGTACCTACCATTCACCCGTGGGAAGGGGCAAACCTCAGGGTAGGCCCCTACAGAGAAATCATAAAACCCAATAGGGTGGCTATGTGGGTGCCAGATCCTGACCTCCTGGGCACTACAGACACTGGCACTATTCTCGGTCTGATGAAATCCCAGAACCCAGGTATTAATACCAAGCAATGGAGGGTAGTCAGCCAAAGAGTAGAAGGAAAAGGTCTAATACTTGTGGTAGACATAGATAATGCATCCTTTGGTGCTCTAAGTAAAGCCAACTTAAAACTTTACCTTGGCTTTGCAATGATAACCCTAAAGGTCATTAAAAAAGCAGTAGACTGATGCTCTGAGGGTGCTTCAAGCAAACCTCTAGCACAGTTAAGCTGCAACACTTGGGCTTTGTCGTGTGGGTAAGGAGAATAGCATCGAGGTAACCCTTATCCAGGAACCCTGGCCAGTAAACGGTAGGACTAGCTGGGCTGGGAGATAAGGGAAGAAAATTATATATGACCACATGTACAAAATGTAAGAACGCAGTTGAATTAAAAATGACTGCCTTGTCCTGTAATTACTTATTTACAAGCTTTGTTTTCCAGATACCAAACAATAATTAAACTAAACTACCTGAAGGGGAGGACTCACGATGGACCTACATGACTTATGATTCATTAAGCCCTCTACCGTCAAAGGGAAACCTGTTATAATACTGAAGGCAAAAGAAGCTACAACTAATAATTGAAACTCACACAATGAGGTATGTAACAACACAAACAGTAACAAAAGAGTGAATAGCTTTTAGAATTAATACTAAAGGTTTTGAACTGGCATTTATAACTTATAGAAGACATGTAGTTATTGATATCAGTACCATATGAAATATCAGTTTTGTTTATTTTGTTTCTTAATACTCTACTGACCATAGAGGTCAGTATCAAGGCAAATCTTGGGGACTAAAATCTAAACTGACCCTTCTGGTTATACACGGTGGTAATAAGCCTGAAAATAACTTATGGATCACTAATTTGATGAACCAAAACTCAACAGAAACTAGCTACCCAAACACTAGGCAGCATACAAAGATTAACAAAATCTGTCTCACGGGGCAAACAGGACTCCCATAAGTGCATTAGAACAATTCTTAAGCTAAACCTACCTCCACATTCATAAAAAAGAACCTCAACCTCAAGAAAAGTTCATTTAAGCTTCAAAAACAATACAGGATGGGAATTAAACAATTCATCCGTAATTAATCATGTTGCATGCTTGTTATGTTCCCATGATGATAACGTTACCGCCCCAGTCAGAATATGTTTTGTTGAATGGTGTTAACTGATGTACACTAAATTATCTGATTCCTGATTTAAATGTTTTCTTGAATTGATAATAATAAAAAAAATTCTTTTTAAGGAAAGGAACCGCCACCTCAACTATTTTGGAGAGGAGAAATATGAAATATGGCTTGAAAACTTGGCGGTAAGACTCTTGATAGTTATTTGTCTAAAATGTTTATTAACTATTCTTTATGATGATACAAAAAGTTCGATAAATCTATGAGATGATTTGAATAAAATGACTTGCCCTCACTGAATTTTTTTACATCTAAAATTGACAAAATAATTTATACAATGTATAATATTTTTTATTCATTTTATGTGCAGGTGTTTTCTACATCTTAATGAACAATGGAAGATGCTTTGGAAAAACTGTTTCTGATTTTACAAATAATCAAATAAATGGGAATAGATTGAGTAAGTTAAAAAAAAATTTAATCATTTCAAATGTCCAAAATTAGCTATGATTATAAAATAGTCTCGTTCGTATGAAATCATTTTCATTTGAAAATGATTATATATGATTATAGTACATCTTGTATGAGCTACATAATAAATCAAAAATGAAATGTAGACAGCATTTATTAATTTTTTATGTGCAAAATTATTCAAATATTTTTTATTATTTCAGGCAGAACAAGTATGAAAATGTGGTGTTTTCACAATCATTTGAATGGATTGAAAGAAAGGTATTGAGATGTTTTTTTAAGTACTTCTTACGTTAAGTGATGATCAATTTGATTGTTCCAGATGATCTTATGTGATTATAATTACATTCCCATTACTGATTTTTTTTTCTAACACCTTAAAGTTTTCTTATTTTAATTTTTTTGTTTACTTTATCTCTTTTTTTTGTTTCAGGACCTATACATTATTACATTCTTTATAATACTACACAGGAGGAATGATGATAATCAAACTAGACTAGAATCAATGATAACTGATTTTACAAATAATCAAATAAATGGGAATAGATTGAGTAAGTTGAAAAAAAAAAGATTTAATCATTTCAAATGTCAAAATTAGCTATGATTATAAAATAGTCTCGTTCGTATGAAATCATTTTCATTTGAAAATGATTATATATGATTATAGTACATCTTGTATGAGCTACATAATAAATCAAAAGTGAAATGTAGGCAGCATTTATTAATTTTTTATGTGCAAAATTATTCAAATATTTTTTACTATTTCAGGCAGAACAAGTATGAAAATGTGGTGTTTTCACAATCATTGAATGGATTGAAAGAAAGGTATTAAGATGTTTTTTAAGTACTTCTTACGTTAAGTGATGATCAATTTGATTGTTCCAGATGATCTTATGATGTGATTACAATCACATTCCCATTACTGATTTTTTTTTCTAACACCTTAAAATTTTCTTATTTTAGTTTTTTGTTTACTTTATCTCTTTTTTTGTTTCAGGACCTATACATTATTACATTCTTTATAATAATACACAGGAGGATATCTCCCCTAAGTGAGTTTTTCATAATTAATTAATTACCAAAAGATTTTAATGATGATAATCAAACTAGACTAGAGTCAATGATAAAACAATGATTAATATTACAGTATCTGATATTTTATAATACATCTTGGTTTTAGTCATTAAAAGTTCCAACATATAATAGTTTGTTTTGTTTTAAGGAATAAAAGCTGTAATAAGAATTTATGCGCATCTTATGCTCCTTGGGGAAAAAGTAAGTCACTTTATGTTTATTTATATGATTTTATTATTTTTGCTTATTCTGCATGATGATATTATATATGGAATATTTGAATTCTTGTGTGAATTAATACTTGCCCTCTCTGATTTATAATCATAAATGTGAATATAAAAACTTATGAAAAATATTTAGTGGTTATTAAAAATTTGTTTCAGGTACAATAAACGACCGATTTCTTGGACGGTGTAGTTAAATTGACATGGGCCTAAAGAGATAATTAACTCTTGATTTTAAACACAGCCGAATTACAGTAGGTTATCAATTTTTTTTTTTAAATTTATTTATGCGCTTTTAATATAGTTTTCATTGTAATTTTAAGTAATCTTTAGTAGAGGCCAGATTGATAAGCAATAAAAATCCTCAAATATTCCATATAATATGCACTAATAAAATATCAAGTATGCAAATATATGCACTAAAAATATTAAATTTCACAGCATGAATGTTCAGAAATCTAGACTTGTTCATTTTTATGGTTCGGTCTAGTACAGTGGTCGGCAAACCATGGCTCTTTGACTTCTTGGCTGCGGCTCTTTCATTAAATCTTTAGTGCAGACACAAAGCGAAAAGTATGACAGGTGCAAGAAATGGGATTGTCGCTATTCTTAAAAAAAAAAAAAAATCACGGGATACTTATTTACCATTGTATTATTCATCAGGAAGCACCATGTGCGCAGACATTACCTGAAGAAATTTGCTCAGCAGGTTCAAAGACTTTAAAACAACAAAGCCTGTTAAAAAAAACAACCTTTGAATGCCACGGTAACAGAAATTATTTTTTTGCCCTTTAATATTGATATTGGCAGCTTTGAAATGCAGTTGCTGGATTTAAAAAACAAAGAATTTCGGAACTCAAAAATTCGAGCGTCTTTAAAACGATTTACAGCTATTGGAGAAAAATAAATGTGAATTAAGTTTACAGCACAGTCTGCTTTGAAAGATCTGGCGAGGGAAGATATGTTGATTTTTAACACCTGGATGATTATGATCAAGAAACTAGTTTGCTGTTCTTTCTTTATTTGGGTTTACATATTTATGCAAACAAACATTTTCAAGCATGAACTTTATCAAGAGTAGATTAAGAAATTGACTTATCGATGAGAACTTGGAATCGTGCCTAAAATTAAAAACAACATACAAAGCTGACTTACCCCTACTTTGCAAGTTAAACTAAGACATTAAGCAAAGATAAGCTCGAGAGTGTACTTATAATTCTAATTATTTCGATAAAAATGTCTTCTAAAGCAAAGCTTAAGTTTAAAAAATGGTTCTTTGAATAAACTTCAATTTTGTATTTTTGAATATATTTGGCTCTTTTGGACGACGAGTTTGCCGACCATTGGTCTAGTATATATACATTTTGAAAGAAAATGTACAGAAAAGAATTGTCACAAAAAAATCTTTATTGGATATAAAATTGATAACATTTAGTGTTTCTGTAAAAAAAAAAAAAAAAAAAAAAAAAAAACCTGGGTGATGGGAGCATACTTGTAGAAACTTAAAATAATAGGATAGTCGATTCCCTATTATAACAACTTTTTTGTTTTTATTTAGAATTCATCAATTTTCCCCAATTACTGTAGTTATTATAAATTTCTAATTATTTTTTTAAGAAACCAAAAATTTTCAATATTCTTCCAGTATTCAATTTGGTATTTAAGTATTCAGATACTAAAAGGCAATTTTCCCTCCCATACCCAATGTGTTAATATTTTTAAATGATGAAAAACCTTTTATGATAAAAATTATAATGATTATACATTATGATCAAGCCAAAAGGATTCTGATGTAACTAAATTTAAATTTTTTGTTTGTTTAGTTTTCTTTCATTAGTTGATTTAATTTTACGTTTGCTTTTCTTAGGTCTTTGTTTCAAAATTTGATTGGTGAGGGAATAAGGCGTTATTCCTGATATAAACACTGTAAGTAATGTTTAATTTATCATTTACTTATTTTTAGTGGTAAGGTAATTTTGAACATTGATGATAAAGGCATATTTTTCAACTTTTTTCCCCTTAAGTATTTGTGATATTTTTTTCACCACACAAATGATGAATAATTGTTGTTTTGATTAATTAATTGATATAATAACAAATTAAGCCAAAAGGATTCTGATAACCATTAGAATAAATAGTGTGTTCAAACATTTGACAGTTTAATTTTACCTTTTTTCTTTTTCTTTTTTTCAGCTCTGTCCATAAATGTAATGAATACGGGAAACCACAGATCAAGGCATGGTACGTTTTTTAAATAAATTTAATTAAGTATAGTTATTCAGATATCGTGAGATGCGGTCGGGTGTGATGTAGGTTTCAGAAAAACATTTTCTTTATCGTGCCAACGTTTCGATCTTTTATTGAGATCATCTTCAGGGCCTGGGATTTACAAACAATGTTTACATTTAACAAATACATTTAGGATGTGGATAAGTGAATTTATACAATGCAAAATATGTTTTATATTCAAACAAAGTATTTCTACTCACTCAAAGTGTTTGTCTTCTGTGTAATTGTGCCATCCTTGTGTGTCGTGTTGAGAGTGCCAGTGAGATTTTGCTGTTTCATGTTTATATATGTTTGGTTTTGAGGAGGTGGGGAAGGAAGTCGGTATATAAAAGACAATTTTGTGCAAGGCGTTTGAGTGAGTAGAAATACTTTGTTTGAATATAAAACATATTTTGCATTGTATAAATTCACTTATCCACATCCTAAATGTATTTGTTAAATGTAAACATTGTTTGTAAATCCCAGGCCCTGAAGATGATCTCAATAAAAGATCGAAACGTTGGCACGATAAAGAAAATGTTTTTCTGAAACCTACATCACACCCGACCGCATCTCACGATATCTGAATAACTATCGATTAACGGTCACTAATCTCTACACATTAATTAAGTATATTAAAATGATGATAGCACCATGCACCACTCAGAGTAATTTTGGTGATATAAGGACCTTGCTGACAAATAATTCCATATACAGATGTGTAACGTTCTTTATCTGTTCTTAACTTTGTACTTTCCTTTTACAGATGTATCATTTTAGCCCATTCCTCTACAACACCGTGGGAACAAATATACAATAGGTAAGAAAACATATTTGTAAATTTTTTTTTGTAGGATTAATTAGGAAATATTTCTTTCAGTATCCAGTTAAGTTTATAAAATGTGTTCTGTGATGATTTAATACAGTTATCCCTGACATAATAAATATTTGCTGATAACTAACTATTTGCTCTGAAAAACATTTTAGATAATTTTTTTTAATCATCTGTGATCAAATTATTGATTAATTCTGACAAATAATTCCATATATCTGTATGTGTAACGTTCTTTATGTGTTTAACTTTGTACTTTCCTTTTACAGACGAATCATTTTAGTGCATTCCTCTACACAAACCGTGGGAACAAATAAACAATAGGTAAGAAAACATTTTTTGTAAAAAAAATTTTTTTTTGTAGGTTTAATTAAGAAATATTACTTATTCAGTTAAGTTTATAAAATGTTTTCTGTGATGATTTAATACAGTTATCCCTGACATAATAAATATTTGCTGATAACTATTTGCTCTGAAAAACATTTTAGATAGTTTTTTTAATATTCTCTTATGATCAAATTATTGATGATTTACTAATAAGTTTTCTTTTTTTTAGGTTTGGCAGTTTCTTTCAGTCCAAAGATTTCATCGTTTTGTCGTCGTTAGTATTTATTTTCTTGTGTAAACCATTGTATTATTGTTCCAATTTTATTTTAACACTTGTGAAATTTAAACTACAGATAAATAAAAGCATTCTAAAATATGTGCTCGAATTATTTTTTCCTTAACAAAATCCTCTTTATTGTTCAATTAATTTTTGTCTTAAGTCTTTCTTTTGGTTGTTCTGGCGCTATAAGCCTTTTTTTTAAAGCTAATTGCAGGCTTAAATGTGCGAAGAAATTTTAGCTTAGTTTTCACTATTAATCTTGGCCGTATTCGCAATTTATAAATATAGCAAATCGTGCTTGTCTGGTTGACTTTGGGTTTTTAAGGGTTTTTCGCCTACTTGGGGTTGCTACTTGGCTAGATAATTGGGAAGAATCCTTTTACAGAACCACCACGTTTGCAGCCTCCTAAAACATTTTAAGAATTAGGTGAGAAAGTTCAATTGATATAAATATATATTATATTTGTGGTCTGTTGACCATATTACTTCTTACAATTAATTAAGGCTTTTTGGTTGAAATGGAAAAGTTAGTGCCATGAGCGGAATCAAAAATGGCGAAAAGGGAAAATTCGAAAGGTAGGTCGAGATGGGGAGCTGGTGCCCCGAGTAGGTCGAAGTCATGATAGCTCAAGTGGTTAGACATAACAGCATATTAAGCTGAAGGTTGTGGGTTTGTACCCGCTCATGGCACTTTTTCAATTCAATCAAAACCTTACATAAAAAGATTGATTTAGATATTTTTGTAACAATAAAATTTTGATTAATCAATACCAAGACTTGCAGGTAGAAAACAATTATATAAGAATAATGAGAAAAAATTGTTATAGGTACTTATTAAATTAATTAAATATCAATTTATAGGAAAGTTAAATAGAGAATTAATTAAGGTTTTTAGTTGAGATGAAAAAAAGTTAATGGCACGAGAGGGATTCGAACCCACGACTTTCGGCTAGATACGCCGCTGCTCTACCACCTGAGCTATCGTGACCTCGATCCACTCTGACATCAACTCCCCATCTCAACCCCACCTTATGAGTTTTCCCTCCTTTTGCCATTTTTCAAATGGCGTGTAATCGGTTTGGATTCTCGACGACAATTGAAATGGCGACGGAGAGCTTTAGTGAAGTATACTTCATTTCAATTCATTAAATTCACTATTTTCGTGGTCCGCTTGACCAATTAATTGTAAACTGTAAAGTATTAATTGGTCAAGCGGACCACGAAAATAGTGAATTTAATAAATAGAGAATGTTAATTTAAGGCCCTTTCTCAGAGAAATACAGAATAAATTTTTTATCTTATGGCCTAATGAAATTATTCATGAACAGAGGTCCTGCCTTTGTAATAATGAATTTCTTATAATGTGGCAAGTAATTTATAAATAATCCTGTTAATAAAGCAAGAAATGTAAAGGATGAATTTTGTATTGAAAAACCAGGAATTTGATTTGAGAGAAAACAGCTCATTTTTTAAAGTTTTCAGGAGTTTAAAAACTTATTTATTTACAAGGTTAGCAAATATGAACATCCACACTGACGCCAAAAATATTTGGTCACAACCAAATTAATAGGCTTACCACCACAGATAAATCTTGCATTTTTTTAAAGTCAAATTTCAAGAACTGGAATCGAGAATCTTGCAGGTAATTAACCTTTATTACAACGTGTTTTCAAGATTGAAAATAAATTCAGCGTACTATACAAAATGTTATTTTGTAAAATTTTATCAACCCTAAGCAAAGAATTCCCGATTCCTCCTACTGAACATTGAAGTCTAATCGAGACATCACACCTATAAATTGAAAGAAGGAATTATAAATATCATAATTAATAATAAATAACTTTCTTTTTATTATTTCTTGAAAACATTTACATAGTTAACAGAGGGGGGTGGGAAAGCCTCACAGTTTGTAAAACCAGCGTACGTTTTAGCTATACTACTTTATAATATACTATAAATGGTAAAAACAATATCAACTTTCTTTTCTAACATTTATCACAGAACTTTTTGCAATAAATAAATAAATTTTGTCAACAAGGAAAATAAGTTTCTGTATTCACAATATGTACGCTCATCAAAACTATAAACAATAAAATAGCATAAAACTGAAAGTTGAATTAAAAATATGAAGAATAAAATTAAAAAAAAAAAAAAAATGAGAGACTATAATACAATACCTACAATTCTTTTTTAAAGTTAATGTGTTTTGTTTTGACTGGCGTCGTGACAAATCAAGGCAGATGCCACAAATTGCATTGTACATAAACATTACACCTAATTTACTATTATACTATCGTAAGCCATCTTTGGACATATTGTTAGGTTCAGACAATGATTTTTTACAGTTATTTGCATCTGATGCTGCTATAGGATGGGCCAAATTAGCTGATTGTTTACTGCCTGAAGTAGGCCCCACCGTCGTGCTGTGGGGTGATAAAGGACTGGGCGGATCCTTGCACTCGTCTTCGCTCCCTTTCTTTAACGCCCTGTAGATCGACTCATCCATTTCAATCGCCTCTTCCTTATCGATAAGTTCGATCAACTCATCGACCTGCTTCTTATTCAACTTCACCTTCTCATTTCCCACTAATTCCAACATCTGAAATGAACAAAATTTTCAGTACGAATGTAAAATTGATATTAAAATTTTAAATATACCTTGAGAAGAACATCTACTCGGACGATACCGTCTCTATCAGCATCCATTTTACTCAATACCTCCGTCAATCTTTCAAGACTAGACACCTGTACTCCTTGTATTTTTCTAATTGTTGCTATAAGGTCGTCAATCCGCAAAGACTCTTCTCTAAAAAGGTGATGTTAAATTCAGATCCAATAATCAGTTTTATAACTTCAAATTAAAATATACAATGTTAATAAAGTACGGCCTCAAAAACCATCGCAGTGTGTATGAATAATCCAAATCACAGGAATATTTACCAAAAAACATTATGCTTTTCTCACCAGTTTTTAGAGGCTAAAACGTGTTCCCTTGTCTATCTACATCCTCGGTCCCTACATGAACCCCCAGCCTGATTTATATATTCATTACGCATCAATTTCAATTTATATTTTACAATGAAAGAATGTAAATAAATGTAACGAGAAAAAATGTAGTATTTAAGAGTATATTTATTTGATTCAAAAAATCTTCATTACGCAATGGAAAACATAATAACCTAAAAGCAAAACAAATACTGACTACTGATTTATTTAGCTCAACTCTGCATAAATACAGAGTTGAAATTACTAAAACTGAGGACACTTGGCAGACAAGAGGTGAAAAAATCAGACAATAGAGCAGGGTAAAGAAAGGATTGGGAATGGCAGAGACAAAAGCTAGATGAAAGTACGATGTAGATGTAGATATAATGTTTCAGGGTATGGTATACTGCGCCCTTTAAGAGCTATTGTATCCCCTGTGCTCTGCCTAAAGCACATCGGTGAGTCCTATTTCATCAAGAAACTTGATTTATAGGCCCGGTTTCAGTGGTTGTAGGTCTTCCCAAAACACTTCCTCCTGCGGGCTAATGTAGCTCCGCAGTTTGTTAGTAAGTGTGTTGGTGTCTCTTCTGCTTCCTTGCAGATTTTACATGTGCCATCTTGGATTATTCCAATTTTCTTTAGATATCCATTTAATCTACAGTGTCCTGTCAGGAATCCTGTTAGGATTCACAGTCTATTCCTGCTTCCTTTGACACATTCTGTGATTTCTTTCTTGCCAAAATTGGTTAGAAGATTCTTGGATTGTCTATGTGCAATAAGTGAATTCCAAAGTTCGCTTATTTTCTTTTTGCCCTTCTGTCTGAGATATTCGTTAATAGTGTGGATTCCTATGCCACAGAAGGGTTTGGGTCCTGTCAGCGGTGTGGCAGCCCCTTTCCTTGCAAGGGTGTACGCTTTCTCGTTGCCTTCTACTCCCATGTGTCCTGGGACCCAACAGAGGCTGACTTTATTCCGCGTACCTAATATGTTTAGTTTGGTTTTGCAGTTCAGCACCATCCTTGAACTAATGGTATTTGAGCTTAGTGCTTTGATGGCTGCTTGGCTATCTGACATGATAGCTATATTCTTGTTTTTGTATCCT